TAAAGATGTTAGGAAAAAATACTTCCATTATAGCTAAAAAACGTTTCTATATATTTTACGAAACAAATCTTATATATACACTTTGTTGTTAATTGTAATTGTAATAACTGTGACGGTTTATAAAAACACCATTAAAGTAAAAAATCTATGAAAAACTAAATATTACGTTGAAAATCAAAATAAAAACTGGCGAAACTAGTATGTAAAAATGCATATTTGATTTCCAATGTCAATATAAGTCGGGATACCTTGAATTGTTTGAAAATTCTTATTAGACCATGTCTGTAACTATCTTGATACTTATTGTTGTTACAACTATTGAACCAAATACCATGACAAAGATAAAATACTAAATCGTTATTTTACGTAAATCGTCATATATAAATAGAATCGGTCGAGGAAATCTGCTTTATATATACACAAACATACACACATACACACACTGACACATACACACACTCTTCTTCTTCTTATACCTGGCAATGTCCCAGTTATAGCCAGGGTCTGCCTTACATGTTGTGAATAGTTTTGGCTATTTATTTTTACAACCGGCCACCTGCCTGACATCAACCCTCTTTGGGAATCAGCATTAATCAGTGATGTCTAAATACTCTTAGAAAGTACATATGACTCAGAAAAATCACATTGGTACCTGCCACGGGCTAGGATAAAACCCGCAACCTCATGCATGAGAGGCTGGCCTTTTAACCACTAGGCCACCATTGACTGATATAACACACATATATATTTATATATTATTTTATTAGCGATACAACCCACGTAAGGACCCTTAACAGTTTTTCATTCATAAATTTTCGTAAATTATAGTATTAAAGTAGGTTATTAAATATAGTAGGTTACGAAAAACGCCTCGTATGTAGAGTTACGATTCAAAATTGGACTAAGCATTATCGTAAAAGTATTTAAAATTAAATCCAGATAAAAGTCTCCTTAAATACAATTTTAGCTTAACTTGTATTTAAATCTTTATCAACCATTCATTAATATAGCAATAAAAATCGAATTAAATGGAAATTTAAATTTAAATTACATTGCAAAATTTGATCGGGCAATTTGTTTAACAATAAAATAAATCCGGAGTCTCCTTTAACGTTAAAACTGTTAACTATGTTTATTGTTAAGTGTTTTCAGTTTTAACGAGTTTAATTTGTTTTTAATGCGTCGTAAAATAAATGTTAACTGTATTTAAGTTGTAATGTCGATTGAAATTTGTATATTTCTCAGTCTTTTTAGATAAAAAGATACTCGAAAATTCATTAATAAAATCAATTATCATGAATTAATGCATATAATGAGATTTTCTGATTGTGGGAGAGATAATAATTTAAATTAATTTATCTCAATTATATTACTTATGATTCAGATAAATAGATTTTATGAAGTGTTTTTCGGTAACTTTATGGGTTACTTTGTCTGTCTGTAAAAGGTTAGACTTTTCCAACTTGTTCTTATAAAACAAAGCGGTTCTTCTAATATAATACAAACATTTTCAAGGTCCAGTTTTTGGGGGCTATTTGAATACGGAACCCGAAAGATTTAAATCAAGCAAAAAGGACCCGACATTCCGCTCCAAAATATTTCTATGAATAGCCTTAGGAACTTCGCCTTGAATATTATAAGTCTAATTTGATGAGTTCCTAGAATCGAGATGGTTTAGTTTTTGCCGACTTAATACTTTCAAAAATTTAACAAACAGGAAAGTTTTTTAAACTTTAAATTGTACCATTTAATTTCCAAGCTAAACTTGTTATTCTGATTTAGTTAATAATACACTTGGGTACTTAAGTCTCTTAAACAACTGTAGTTTTATGCGTGTGGTAAAACGTTCAAACGAATAATGATTTTCAAGAAAAAGAAGCTTAAACCAACATAAAATTACTAGTTTTTGTCCATGACTTCGTCGCGTTAATTTCGATTTTAGTTATATATTATACACATATATATGTATGATTGACCGGACGATCTCTATTTCGCCCTAGAGGCCATAAATGACCACATATTAGAGTGTTTCGATAGATAAGAATTAAATATTCTATGTCCGTCTCCTGGTTCTAAGCTATCTCACCGCCAATTTTCAACCATGTCCCTACACCCATTCGTGACTTATAAATAGTGTAACTAACACAACCTTCTTTCATATAAATAGATTTGACCAATAAAATAGACATATGTATGTACGTTAACTACAAACCACTTGTATGATAACACCTAAAATAGACCCTATAAATAAATCACGAGCAATTTTACTTGGTTATATTGCACAAGTTACAAGTTTCGTGACTCCATCTATCGTTCAAGCAATCTACGTTGACAGCTCATCAAAACCATCTAATCTACAAGCACAGTCTCAATCTATCTAATCTACATGCACATGATACAAACATCCAATCTAAATGCACATGTAACGCCAACTTCATCAATATTATAGCTTTTATCAAAGGCCTTCCGTATTGCAATAGGCGTTTAATTATACTGTTTGAGCTAATTTGTGTTCATACAAAATTATGTCTTTATGAATATGTTATAAAGTTTGATTTTGATTGATTGGTGGATTTAAGGATAATTAGTCCTGGTAAGATTGGCAATTATAATGGCTTTGACCGTTTTCTGTATGATGAGATAGTCGATCTATTATACTGTACTATAAAAAACTAAATAAATTCGATAGTAACATGAAGTTTAATGAAAATATATGGACTAAAGTTATTCGTAAATTATTCAAAAACTAGAAGACCTGGCGAACTTCGTATCGCCTTATAATAAAGAAATATCTATTACGTTTTTTTATTTATATTTTTGGAGTTTACCTGTAAGCCATAAATCTCCGTGTTTTGAAGTGCGACAGAATGATTGACATATTAGTTAGTTGTCAAATCTAATGTCAAAAAAACGTTTGTATGGGAAATAGAAAAGGGCTGTTTTTATGGTTTTCCCAGTAATTAATCAATTTTTTTTAGCTTTTATAACTTCCCTGAACCTCCACGAACATTTCAAGACTAAGATAAGATAATCCGTTCAGCTGTTCTCGAGTTTTAGCGAGACTAAGGAACAGCAATCCATTTTTATATATATAGAAGGCTAATCTAAAGTACTGAACATATTTTCATTATAAAAAATGGCTTATAATCTCGTCCATATTCATCTCATGTTAAATCTTAATAGTCTCATATTTATATTTTTGTATATCAAATTAGGTTTTCAGCTGCACATTATTTTCGCAGATTTATCGATCATAATTACAGTGTGCCGCTATATAAAATTTGTTTTATATTTATTTTCACGTCAATCTCGTCTTAATGCGTATGATTTATGAGGGCGATAATTCGGTGATGATGTTTTGTTTGTTATGATTTGGTAGCAGCACTGTAATTTATTTATTTGATACGGTCTTGATTACTTTTCATATAATTTATATACTATTCCTTTATAAGCATTTTTTATTTGTATTTCATTCTTAATGTAATCAATGTTATGGTCTTAGTTATAACATACGTTTATTATTGTGATTTAAAAAGAGTTATTTATGGTAAAAATATAAAGGAATTTCTTTACTTATAACTATAAATTGTTCTATTGAGTACAATGAAGAACTTTTCTTCATAATTTCCTCTATCTATAATATACTATTTTTCTTATAATTTAGTTTAAATTAGTATGTTAAAATGAGGAATTTTTCTCTTTTTTTATACGTAATGATATGATTGATGGAATTGAAACACCTTTGGACGGTGACTGTTTTTAGGTAAACTTAGTGTAGGACATTAAAGGACTTTCCTGCAAGCACATTCAAGGTGATGGGCAATTTGGAAAAGAGTGACAAAATCTGGTCAGGAATTGGCCTCTTTAGGGACGGCCCATATTCAGCAGTTAGACGGTCAAAGTTCGAATTGAACGATCGCATTAACTACAACGTTCATTAATGAAGTAGCACTCTGTTTTTTGCATAATTCAATAATTTTCGACGAAGTTTTAATACAAATACACGAGTATTCTTATAATCATTTTCAAGATTACAGAGCCTAATGAAGTTAGTAGTGTTTTGTTTTACCAGACTTATAATTTAAAAAGGATAGTTACGTTTACTTTCTAAGAGTATTTAGACATCACTGATTAATGCATTCCCAAAGAGGGTTGATGTCAAGCAGTTGGCCGGTCGTAAAAACAATTAGCCAAAACTATTCACAACATGTAAGGCCAAGGCAAAGGCAGACCCTGGCTAAAGCTGGAAAATTGCCAGGTAGAAGGAGAAGAAGAAAAAGTTAGGTTTATAACGTGTATCTGCCTGTAATCTCGAAAACAGTTTAACTGTGTGGTGTCATCAAAGTTAGTTAAATTGTGAATGAAATAAGTGGACCGTTTTATGAACAATAATTTTCCGTCAAATAAAACTTGGTATTCGAAATAAAGAACGCTATAAAACATTACTTCATGTATATGCAACATAATATGTATGTTTTAAATTATTATTTTCTCCACAAGCAAAAATAGTACTGTTATTAGGTTGACGTTAATGTCTGTCTGTGTGTGTTTGTGTGTATTTGTGTGTTTGTGGCATCGTAGCTCTTAAACTGATATAAAGATTGCGATATGTTTTTTTTTCATATGACAGGCGGTTTTCTTGCAATGTTTATTAGATATGTTTGGTTAATATCAATACAATAGATTAAGAGTTAAGCTGGGTAAGAGAATCAGCTCTTTTTGGTTTCATGTAAGTCATATTTAGGCTGTGTTTACCAGAATAAGGTCTTTACTATTTCCAGTATTGTATGTTACATGATAATTAATTCCTTCGTTTTTTTATTTGATGATTTATTGTTATTATTAATACGTATTAATTTATATGAGAATATATGCAAAATCATATATTTTACATTCTGCTAATCTTTCTAAACTATCTCAAAGAACTAATGTTCGCTTGTTACTCTTTCTAATTATTTCTTTAAACAAATTAAATATATAATAGAACACTCAATACTGACCTTACAGCAAGCAACACAAAACACAACAGTATAAGTATCCAAGCTGATAGGCTCGCGCGCACTACGTGGCTCGCGCGTTGTACACATACCGACATTGTCTCACATGGTGATAATATTATCTATTGACCATCATCACTGTCACTACACTGGAGGTTACATTAGATCTGGAACAAAAGAGGTTTTATATTAATATAGTTTTTTTTTTGGTGACGGTTTTTTTCAACCAGTAGTTTTGTAAATTATATGATTCGATTTATAAAATTTTGTTACTATAGTTTTTACAACACATTTACAAATTCTTTTACTGCTAAGTTAATTTTATTGTATTGTCTTACAATTCGTGTTATATCTAAATAATGTTAAAGCCTACAAATAAAATAGTATTGTTTTAAACAAAAAGATTTGCATTTTTCAAACGATAATATTATCTAAATGTGAATAATGAAAAATGATTCTGTACCTTTTGTGTTAAAGACCAACGTACATATAAGTATACATAAATTAACGCCTTTGTAACTTATTTTTACTTATAATTATTGTGATATATTTTAGACATGAATTACTCTCATCTATATACATATATATAAAAGAAAGTCGTGTTAGTTACATTAATTATTTACAACTCAAGAATGGCTGTAGGTAAATGTTTGTAAATTGATGAGGAGATAGCTTAGAACCAGGAGACGGACATAGGATATTTAATTATGTTCGATTAAAAAAAATATGGTCTCTAAGGCGAAATATAGTTCGCCCGGTCAGCTATACATTTATTCTCAATTTCGAAATTAACGCGGACGAAGTCGCGGCAAAAACTAGTTATGAATGTTTAAAAGTTAATTTTATTTACTTGTATATTATTGGTATTTTACCTAAATTTTAAATCATTCTTTCAACATAATGTTTTATGAGTGAATGTATGTTTTGTTTCAGCATTTCACTTTCGTGTCTAAGTCGCAATATTTGTCTTTTTATTAGCATTTGTTAGAAGAATCTTCGTGCTCATATTACGAGACGAAGTAAATGGAGATGAAGTATTAAAATTACATTTATATACTTTTATTGTTTTTATATAGAAATGAATTTGATATGATAGATATTTTTTAATTTATATTAGAAGTTTGAGTGTAATGAAATTGAGAATAAATCTGTAAAAGTGAAACTGTCATGATTTAAACAATATATAGGTATAAATGAATGTCGAGAATTTCAAACCTTTTTTTAAATTTAAATTATGTAATCATATATGAATATTCTTATACTGTATAATAAAGTGAACATAAATAAAATCCTATTATATATTATTTATGTCTATTATGTAGACGTGGTGGTGACTTACTGGTAAAAGGGCGCGGGTTCGAAACCTGACAAGTATCAATATGATTTTTTCCGAATCATATGTACTTTCTAAGAGTATTAAGACATCACTGACAGACGGTGAAGGAAAACATCGTGAGGAAACCTGGACTTATAATTTCCAATTATAAGTTTGAAATCACCAACCCGTATTGAGCAAGCATGGTGATTAATGCTCAAACCTTCTCCATGTGAGACGAGGCGTTTGCTATATTATATGTGTACTTATTTGAATAAAAAAAATTACGTAAGTTATTTTTCAGGTATAATACACTATATATATACAGGGTGACTGGTGAATTACTATCAATATTTTAGGAGAATACTCGGTACATGATTCTCATTCGAATTATGTAAAAAAAATAGGCACTTAATTTTTGACAAAATTTTCGTATAAATAAATAGTGTTGACACGTTCCAAGTGTTCCAAGTGTGGACGCGTGCGGCGGACACGTATGTGTGAGTGTGTGTTTATACCTAATCTGTAGGGTGTTCATACGATGCGTAATTAATTACATAACTTTTGGTTAACTTTACTTAGAAGTTTATTAATATTTATGTTATATTAATTTTTATTTTGTCATATATGATCGTCAAATATCACGTCCTCAAGTATCGATAGTAATTCACCAGTCACCCTGTATATATATATATATATATCCATTTTAACCTATATATTTCAAGATAACGAAAAGATTAAAGCAAAAATATTACAATATAGATTTCTTTATATAAAAAAAGATTCAATAATACCATGTCCTTTGTAAAGTAATCGCTTGTAGAAATGTTTTTCATGTATCCTTATCGTGGTTAACGAAGATTCTACAAGAAGACTTGAAATTGTATTTATTGTTATAGTTCCGTATAATAATAATATTGAAAATCTGAGAGACGAAACCTCATATCACCTAATGTATTCACGGTGCGTGTGTCGGGTCCATCGTTGTAGTGAGAGGAGCTTCAACAGTGACTGGGACTTGTGACCCAGGTGTAGGTTTAAGGAACCTCAATCTAACGCGAGTTAAACGCTCACCTCCACTGTCCAAGCTTCTCTCCCTACCTAACCAAATTTGAAAAGAACCTACTAGGGCTAACTTCGAAGTAACTTCCAAGAAAGAATCGATATTAGTTCTGGACAGGCCCAAGTCTTTTAGCAGGTTGTAGAGAGATTTAGCAGTTATTTTTAAATATATTTTGAAATCAAAATTATATATTGCTTGTACCAAAAATCTTATCGGTTTGTTGATATTGTTTCAATATTATATATTTAAGTATTTTATTTTATTTTCTTAACAAGAGATGTTAAATTCTTCAAGTTCTTTCATAACTACTAATATAATACGGAACTCTAAAACAAGGCTTTACATTTTAAATCCATTATTTCACTTTACAAGCAAACGCCATTATGTTTATGCCCACTTAGTTTTCAAATTATCTTATTATGATATTATAATCAATAGTTTATTAAATGTAATTTACAAAAGCATTGTATTTATGTTATGATTATTTTACCTACACATTTGATATTATTCTAGACTCAAGTTTCAACTGAGTAAAATAATATAGTTTTAATATTAAGTTATATCTTCTTCTTCTACCCAGCAATTTCCCAGCTATAGCCAGGGTCTGCCTTACATGTTGTGAATAGTTTTTGGCTATTTGTTTTTACGACCGGCCGCCTGCCTGACATCAACCCTCTTTTGGAAATCAACATTAATCAGCGTTGTCTAAATACTCTTAGAAAGTACATATGATCCGGGAAAAATCACATTGGTACTTGCCCGGGCCAGGATCGAACCCGCGCCCTCGGCGACGAGAGGCGGGCCCTTTAACCACTGAGCCACCACTGACTTAAGTTATTAAGTTATATAATATTTGTTAATATATATTTTGATATTTGTATGCTCATTAAAGATTTGTATTGTCACAGTAAAGCATCATCAGCCTATCGGATCCCACTGCTGAGCAGCCCTCTTCTCACATGGAGAAGATTTGAGCATTAATCACCACACTTGCTCAAGACGGGTTGGCGATTTCATACTTATAATTTGTAATTATAAGTCTAGGTTTGCTCACGATTTTTTTCTTCACCATCTGTCAGTGGTGTCTAAATACTCTTAGAAAGTACATATGACTCGTAAAAATCACTTTGGTACTTGCCAAATTTCGAACTCGCGCCCTCACGCATGAGAGGCGTGCCTTTAACCACTAGGCCATCACGACTTGCATGCATACTACACACTCCACGTTAACAGTTTGTTATTCATAAAACTTCACATTATAGTATTAACGTAGTATTGAATGGCAAACGGGATACTATACGTATGTAGTTTGGAGTTGCAAAACTTGTGATAAACATACTAACGTGTTTTTTGTGATAAACTATACATGTACCTAATGTATTAGAGTATTCTATAGAATTATTAGTTCAATTAAGATAAGAAATATAATACTGCAAAACTGAAGTAACGAGACTACTACAATTGTTTGTCGTTGAAGGAGGGAACATTAAGAAAGTTCTTATGTTTCTTTCCTAATTAAATCGTCTAATAATTCTTAAATTTTCTTTTATATCTAGAATTAAGATAAGTTAATAAATGTAAGGGTTTAATAAAATTTGATATATTTGTGTAACAAGTTACTTAAAAAGTAATAACTAAATGGTAGTTCTCATAAATATTTCCCGCGTATTCACAAAATATATCAGAAAAATTATTTGCTAAAAAAGTACTTTATTAAAAAAATGTACAACGCATAACTTATCTCGTAATAGAAATTTCTGTAGAATCACTTTTGATGAGAGAAACAAGATTAGAAATTGCTACACTACGTATAAAGATGAAGGAAAAAAGATATATATAGATATAAATAACGTTGTCTATCTAGACATAAACACATACAAATAATAAAATATTAAGATATAATTAGTAGAATTCTACTTAAATTATAATAATCTTAACGAACTGCTAGTATATCGTACAATAAATAGCTACAAAGTGTGGATTAAAGAGATATTTTACAGCTTAACATCAAAATGACATTATGTTGTTACTTGGGACTTTGAGTTTCACTCGTTGGTACGATCACATATCTATATACTGTTACTTAAATATATTTATATTTTTATCAGATATACATGTTTTTCTTTAAAATAAATGTTTTAAATGATAGGGCAATTCTAGAGAGTAGCTCTTTTGATATACATAATTAAACTTCGATTTCCTTTTAAACTATTATACTGTTTTTTATCCCTACTTAATATTATAAATGCGAAAGTAATTCTGTCTGTCTATCGGTATGTTACGTTTTCACGCTTAAACCACTGAACTGATTTTGATGAAATTTGGTACAGAAATAGAGTTGACCTTGAGAAAGAACATAGGATATTTTCTATTCCAGACTTTTGAAAGGTTTTCTTGGAAACGCGATATAACCGAACTCCACACGGGCGAAGCTGCGGGCGGAAAGCTAGTATAGAATAAATCGAACTGAGTAAATAATTAACAATATTTTGTAACCAAAACCCTTCGTGAACTATTTCAAAGAGTAAATTCTATTTTCTGTCCTGTACACAATTTCAAATGTGAAAGTTTGTTGGAGTGTGTGTTTATTTGTAAATAACTCATAAACTTCCAACGAATATGTATTACTAGTAATAATAATAAACGTAGTTGTATCACACGGGATCGTAAGCAAAGCCGCAGATAAAAACTAGTCATTCATAAATCTCCAGTGATACGAT